TTGTCCGGTTTAGCCTTTTTTCACCCGGGAGTGATAGATCCATGGAGTGATACCTGCAACTTTAATAACAATGGAAGTAACTAGTGTCAAATGAAAAAAAAACAAACTCTGTAAAATAATTTTAAAGAGATTTATTCTGAGCCAAATTTGAGGACCACGACCCGGAGCCACTGCCAAGAGGCCTTGGGCAAGTGGACTAGTTTTATACATTTTCAGAGAGACAGGGGTTACAGGCAAAGTCACAAATCAATACATGAGAGGCATACATTGGTTTGGCCCCAAAAGGTGGGACATCTTGAAGCGGGGGGGGGGGGGGGTGAGGCTTACAGGTTATAGGTGGGTTTAAAGAGTCTTTGGCTGGCAATTGGCTGAGAGAGTTAGACTTTATTTAAAAGACCAAAAAGGATATGCTTATGTTAAGATAAGGGTGTGAGCACTCTGGGAGGTCCAGACAGGAGGACATTTTAAATTTACAATAAGTGCCTTCTAGGATGCTTTAAGATGCTTTAAATTTAAGAATAGGCATCTGCTAGGAGTTAAGATATTTTAAATTTATGATAGGCATCTGCTAGGGTGCTTGAGTTAAGACAGGGGCTTCTTATCTTTTAGGTGATGTTAATGCCATACCAAAATCAGGTTGGGAAGTAAACCGCCACTTCATTTGGTTAACAAAAGCCGCTTAGTAAAAATTTACTGTTTGTCAGCCTGATCCAGCTGGCCTCCTTAGGAAGGAGTTTTTAGCAAAAAAAAAAAAAGATCAGAGTTTAGTCCTCAGTAGTATCACAGTATGGGGACCCTGCCAAGTGGTCTTTAGGGGTATTCTTTTCCAGTTCTTTACCTAGTCTAGATCCCCAGGTTGGTGGAGGTGGACAGGGAGACCAGGATGATAGGGGTTTTTTTCTAGGTCGGTGTGGTGGCAATGGCACATAGTTTTGGCTAAGGCTTGGAGGTGTGTGTTTGTATTCAATTCCCCTAGTTGTCTAACGTCTCCCCTTAATCGCTTGATGAGTGGGGGAGGTCTACCGAATAGGATTTCAAAGCGTGAATATCCTGTGGGCCCCGGTGTGCACCTGACTCTGAACAGGCTGGGCTTAGCATGTCTACCCAGGGTAACTGTGTTTCCTGACATAGCTTCACTAGAGTGATCTTGAGGGCCCAGTTCATGCGCTGTACTTTGCCTGAGCTCTGTGGCCTGTAGGCTGCATGTAGTTTCCATTTGATTCCTCGTGGCTTGGTGAGGGTTTGCATGACCTCCACAGTGAAGCTTGGTCCATTGTCACTTCCAAAGGAGAGTGGTAGGCCATACCTTGGGACGACTGCTCTCAATAGAAAATTTGCCACTTCCCTAGCCTTTTCAGTCCAGGCAGGGACTACCTTGACCCAGCCTGAGAAGGTGCATATCATTACCAGCAGGTATTTATAGCCCCGACATGGTTTTACTTCTGTGAAATCAACTTCCACATCCTCGAACGGAGAGGTTCCGGTATACTGAATCCCTGAGGCGGGTCTCGGCCTGACCGCTGCATTGTTTTTAGCACAGGTCTGGCAGCGGGCGCTGACTGCTGCAGTGATGGACGGAAGTTTGGCAATGTAGTAGTACCAGGCGAGTAGCTGCGTGAGGGCTGTTTTCCCTAAGTGAGTCAGGTTGTGATGTCGGGAGACAATGGAGTATGCTAGTTTATTGGGGATAAAAAAGTCATGGTTCCATAGGTGCCACCATCTGTGTGCATCCTCCTTGACCTTCTTCTGCTCTGCCCACTGGTTCTCTTCTGGAGTATATTTTGGTTCTTCAGGCCACTCGGGTGCCAACAAGATGTGGCACTGGGTTGCAGTGTTGTCCTCTGAACATCCTCAGATGGCTACACTTTTGGCTGCTTGGTCTGCCAGGTGATTGCCAGTGGCAATTGGATTTGCGTCCTTTTGGTGCCCTCGACAGTGGATGACCGAAATTTCTTTTGGCTCCCAAACTGCCTCTGGCAGTTGGGAGGATTTCATCCCTATTTTTGATCTGCTTTCCACCTGCAGTCAGCAGCCCCCTCTCCCTGTATATTGTCCCGTGGACATGTACTGTGGCGAAGGCATATTTAGAGTCTGTGTGTATGTTTGCCTTCTTGCCCCGGGCACGCCTGAGGGCTTGGATGGGGGCCCATGGCTCCGTCCTTTGTGCCGACCACCCTTGGGGCAAGGGAGCTGACACGATGACCTCATCAACTCTGGTGACTGCGAAGCCCGCCAGTCGTTTCCCTTTCTGGATAAAACTGCTGCCATCCGTGTAGAGTTCTACGTCCGGTGCCGGTAGAGGACTGTCTTTCAGATCTGGCCAGCTGGCAGAGACCTCCTCTCCCGCCTGGGTACAATCATGGCCCAGGGGCCCTGGCTCGGTGGGTGGGAGGGTGGCAGGATTCAAGGTCCGCACAGTCTCCAGGGTGACCCTCGGATTTTGGCATAGCAGTTGTTAGTATTGCTCTAACCAGCTGCTTGAGAGCCACCGGTGCCCTGAGGTGTTCGTTAGAGATGCTACTGCATGAGGGACTCGCTCACGGAGGTTCTGTCCCAGTGTGAGTTTCTCTGCTTCCTTGACTAGTAGAACAGTGGCCACCAGTGCATGGAGACAAGGTGGCCATCCTGCTGCTACTCTATCCAATTGTCTCGACAAGTAAGCCACCGGTCTCTGCCACGGGCCCACAGTTTGAGTCAAAACCCCCACTTGTTTCTTCCCGTGCACAAACAGGGTTAAGTCTTCCGTGAGGTCCGGATGCTCTGGGACGGGGCTCTCTTTAGTGAGTCTTTTATTTCCTGGAAAGCCCTTTTCTGACTCTCAGCCCATTCCAGTTCTTTGTTTTCACGCCCGCGCAGGGCATCATACGGAGGCTTGGCCTTCAGGGAGAAACTTGGGATCCAGATGCGGCAGAATCCAGCAGCTCCGAGGAATTCTCTGAGTTGTCTCCGACTGTTCGGCCTGGGAGATGTACAGACGGCGTGTTCACGCTCATGTCCCAGTGTCCGGTGCCCTGAGTAATGTGGAAACCCAGGTACTTCCCTGCTGCCTGCAGATCTGTGCCTTTTCCCAGAATACTTTGTATCCCATGTCAGTGAGCAGCTGGAGCAGGCGCCGGCATCCCCAGCGGCCGTCTTCTCTGGCTGGGCTTGCTAGAAGGGGGTCATCGACGTACTGTTGAAGTGTGCAGCGGGTTTCTTCTTGCGGAAAGGAGATGGGGTCAGTGGCTGGAGCCTCCCCGAATACAGTTGGTGAGTTTTTAAATCCCTGTGGTAGCCGCGTCCAGGTCGGCTGGGTTCTCCTTCTAGTCTGAGGATGCTCCCACTCGAAGGCGAACAGGGGCTGGCTCTTCGGAGCGAGCGGCAGGCGGAAGAAAGCATCCTTCAAGTCCAGGCAGGAGAACCAGGCAGCATTGGGAGCAATGAGGCCCAGGAGGGTGTATGGATTCGGTACCACCGGGTGGAGAGTCACCGTAGCCTCATTAATCAGTCACAGGTCTTGGATGGGCTGGTATCCACCTCTGTTGGGCTTTTTGACTGGCAGGATGGGAGTGTTCCATGGAGACTGGCACTCCACCAAAATCCCCTCCTGCTTGAGCCTATTGGTGTGTTCCTGAATTCACTCTCGAGCCTCCTTGGGGATGGGGTGCTGTCGTCTCCTGGTCGGTTGGGCTCCTGGTTTCATCTTGATCACCAGGTGTGCAAGACATTGGGGGGGGGGCAGTGTCCTCTGCCCAGACCAATGGAAAATCCTGCTAGAAGTCAGGCAGGTTCTGTTCCTCTTTGGCCTCATCATAGAGCTTCCATTCTGATTCCCAGGGCAGGCTGACCACCATTATGAGGGTCTCTGGGGCGCCAAGCATGAGGCTGCAGTTCCTTCCAGGTGGAAGGTGACCTGGGCTTCCAGTTCAGAAGGTCAGTGGTGGAGAAGGGCTGGTAGTACAGGACTGGCTGCCCTGGCTGAATGGAACCATCATCCATAACCTGCATTGGACCTCGCACCTCACGCAGGGGCATCTAGAGGGCTCCAGTTGGGACCTGAGCTGACTGTAGCTGGTGGGTGAGGGGAGTGTTGGCACCTGGTTGGTCCAGAACTGGTGGCAGGGAGACTGATGGTGGTGGGGTGTCTGGTGGATTCGGGGGTACTTCAGGAGGTGTCACAGTAGGGTTGTAGGTCGGTGGTGGTGGATCCTCTTCAGGAGTTTTTTGTTTTGTTTTGTTTTGTTTTGAGACAGAGTCTCGCTTTGTTGTCCAGGCTAGAGTGAGTGCCGTCTCATCAGCCTAGCTCACAGCAACCTCAAACTCCTGGGCTCAAGCGATCCTGCTGCTTCAGCCTCCCGAGTAGCTGGGACTACAGGCATGCGCCACCACACCTGGCTAATTTTTTCTATATATATTAGTTGGCCAATTAATTTCTTTCTTTTTATAGTAGAGATGGGGTCTTGCTCTTCCTCAGACTGGTTTTGAACTCCTGACCTCGAGCAATCCTCCCGCCTCGGCCTCCCAGAGTGTTAGGATTAGGGGCCTGAGCCACCGTGCCCAGCCGTTCAGGAGTTTTTTGATAGATGAGTTTGGACAGTTTGGAGTCTCTGGTCCTTTGGGCCACAAAATCCCAGCTCTGTCCCTTCTTAGCAGAGAACGGGACCCGAGGGGGCATGGTGTGAGCAACCTCTAGCCATGAATCATGTAAGGGAATTGGCCAGGTGGCCAGGAGTCCTGGTCACGAGTCCCCAGACTGCTCGCGCGGTGGGGAGGTCCACGGTCCCTGCTGGGGGCCAGGCGCCCGAACGTGGGCCGTTCCCGTTGACAGCGGCCCTGAGTCCACCAGGACTCAGCGTGACGCCAGTCTCCCGTCAGACCCTTCTTGAAGCTCTTTACGCGCATTTAGGGGCTGCAGGCCTAGACTCGACCCGCCCATCCCAGACCCCGGACGGGCGTCGCAGCTTCACAGACGAAGGGGGCGTTTCTCTGGGTGTCCGCCTGGCCGCGTCCCTCAGGGGAACCGAGGCGCCTGGTGGCGAAGCTGTGCCCGCACAGCCCGGCCCGGTCGCTCCCCTGGGCAGTGACTCACCGCTGTGCCCCGCCGCAGAGCCGCAGGTGGGGACCCTCAGTGCCGGCCGCAGCGTGGAGCCGCGGACGGTCGCGCTCACTCGCTCACTCACACGGGCGGAGTCCCAGTTCCCGCCCTGGGACGCCCCTGCTCTCGGGAGGGGACGAAGCTCCTCTTCCGTCGTCTGACGGGCCTGGCTCGGGCGGTCCCGGGACCTCACCTGGTCGGAAGCTTCCAGACTGATTTGACTGGTCCGTCCCTCCGCGGTGAGTTCGGGCCGCAGCCGGCGGGAGCTCCTGAGGAGCGAAGATATTCCGCAAAATGGCGGTTCGCGCCCGGTTCCCTTCTGTCACCGGGGTCCTGAAGGTTGCTGTGCCGGGCCCTGAACCGGTGGCTTCAAGGTGCCAGTGCCCCTCGGCTTTCCCCATCAGGGAACCAGAATATTACAGCAAGTGTTGCAGCGGGTGGTCCCGAGGACAAACCCAGTGGCACATGGAGAGTTAGAGAATCAAGGTTTATTTGCTGGCAGGCTCAGAGAGGCCTCGCCACCAAATTCTGAGACCCGTCTACCCCATTTTTCCTACTTTTATTAGGTTGGAGTGGTCTGAGGGGTGGGGTCTCAGGTGGCTGATGTGCCAGGTGATAGATGGGGGTCTTCCTTATCACCATCACCTCAGGCATTTATCATTTCTTTGTGTAGGAAGATTCCAGTTTCACTCTTTTAGTTATATCCCAGTATACTTTACCTCACTGGTTTTTTTGTTTGTTTGGTTTTTTGTTTGTTTGTTTGTTTTGAGACAGAGTCTCACTCTATTGCCCAGGCGTGAGTGCCGTGGCGTCAGCCTCGCTCACAGCAACCTCAAACTCCTGGGCTCAAGCGATCCTCCTGCCTCAGCCTCCCGAGTAGCTGGGACTACAGGCATGCGCCACCATGCCCGGCTAATTTTTTCTATATGTATTTAGTTGGCCGATTAATTTCTTCCTACTTATAGTAGAGATGGGGTCTCGCTCTTGCTCAGGCTGGTCTTGAACTACTGAGATCAAAGGATCCTCCTGCCTGGGCCTCCCAGAGTGCTAGGATTACAGGTGTGAGCCACGGTGCCTGGCCCCTCATTGTTGATTACTCACTTTGTTGTGCTATAAGACATTGTTCATTTTCTCTCTCTAACAACATTTTTGCACCCATTAACCATCCCCACTTTTTATCCCCCCTCCTCACTATCTTTCCATGCTCTGGTAACCATCTTTCTACTATCTGTCTCCATGAGATCAATTGTTTTTAATATTTAGCTGCCACATATGAATGAGAACATGTGTGTCTTTTGGTGCTTGGCCTATTTCACTTAACAGTATGTTCTCCAGTTCCATCCATGTTGTTGCAAATCTAGCCCTATTATTAACCCTGCACTTCCTGGTACTCTGTTGGTCCCATATTACTTCGTAACAATTCTCAACATTTGCCCTCTGGCCACCAGAACACATCGCCAGAAAGAGGAATGGCACCTTCCCCACTTCAGATTCTCTGATGGAATGGAACAATTGGGCCTGCTCCTCTCCTGGGAATTCCATTCTAAGGAGGGCCCAGTCTACCCTTGCTCCTAAACCAAAACTTCCCCAGATCTCTCCCTTTGTAAAAATTTTGAGACACATTGTGTCAACCAAGATTAGCAATCAATATTGGGGATTTTCACGGGTAACATCCATGACACAACTTGGAAGTAAGATCTCGCTCTACATTTTGATTATCTTTTGTCGATAACTGTTACAATTATACTTATTCTTTTTCTGCTTTAAATTTCAGTCTATGAATATAATTTTCTGAATTACTGAATAGGTATAATTATATGAATCAAGATATTTAGCAAATATATATGAAATTATAATTGTGAAAACCTAAATTTGGAGATATTAATATACAGTATATGCCATATTAAATAATATGAACTTTTATATTATGCATGTTTTTTATTTCAGTTTAATTGGCTAGTGTTTGAAAATAAAATAACATTATTCATTCCAGAATTTATCATTTTTCTACATAAGATATTATATTGATTTGTGGTTCACTGAAGTTCATGAGAAGTCCATTAAATTAATTATATCTTTCTCGCATCTCTTCCAAGTGAAACTAATTTTACTCTACTGTAGATTATATTAAATCACTATGATTATTGTTTTATTTGTATATTAAATTTCTGAGCTTAGCATAAATTATCTATATAGTACATGTAAATATGAAGCACTTGCCCTTACACAAAATAATTTTTTTCTTCTTTTTCTTTCTTTCTTTTTTTTTGTACGATTTTTGGCACAGATTAAATTCAGGAAAACTGAGGAAGATACACTCCATTTCAAACCTTTAACAGGGTGAGGTACAAGTGAAGACAGAGGCCTTTTCACACCTGTGAGTATAAATAATCCCTGAGAGTTCAATCTGAAGCTAACTCACTCTGAAGTCTATTACCATAGCCTGTTTCACCATCAAAATTTTCCCAATTTAGACACTTTATCCAATAAAAACAGCATGTATCCATTGCACAGGTTTTTAGAATTTCTTTTATTTTTAATTATTATATAAACATAACAGTAGTGCATATTTATGGGATACATGTGAAATTGTGATTCAAGCATATAACATGTAATGATCAAATCAGAGTAATTGGGATATCGCCTCAAGCATTTATCATTTCTTTGTGTTTCCACTGCACAGTTTTTATCTCTGTTTTCATATATAGACTTACATAACCAATTATTACATAATAATAAAAATGGCAAATACTTCCTGAGTGCTTTCTATTTGACAAGCACTATGGCAAGTAATTTATATGCATTGCTTCATTTATTCAGAACATAAATCTATGAAGTGCATTTGATGATATTTCCATTTTATAGCTGAGAAAACAGTTGAAAGAACTTGCTCAAGGCCCACAGCTAGTAAATGGAACTGAAAACAAGTCTGTCTGATTCCAAATTTTATGTTCTTAATCATTACATTTCCTATTTCATAATTTTTTTTAATTCAAGGACTTCATTTTTAGAATCAATTGGTTTCTAAAATCAAGTGAGGCTGTTACTTAGGGATTCTGCCTTTTTTCTGCCATTTTTCCAGGAATGGTTGCCATTAAGCAGGGAACAAGGGAGCATATTTTAGAATCTTCTTCTGTGCCTACCTTTTCTTCCCACCTCCGTAATGTTGATGCTTTAGTATTTTTGAAAAATCCATTCGACCTCGAGAGTTGATAATTTTTGTGAATTAATTCTCAACACTTCTATTGCAAGTATTGTAATCAATAATCAAGTTATTTAAAAAATCTAAATCAAAGAATCAATGTAGTCATTGTAAGTAATGCAAAGGGATAGTAATGCAAAGCTACTTAAAATAATTAATGAAGTTTGAATCTAAAATGCAAGAGAAAAAAATCATTAGAGTGTGTGAGGGGTAAGTCTTTGTGATGATTTTGTGATTTCTTCAAATATGGCTTTCACAATTTTTGGTACTCACAGATATCTTTTTCTGTAATAAAAGAAAATGGATGTGTTGAGAAAAACGCATAAGATCTTAATGTGTCTCATATAATATCCCTTTAATTTATTATATATAATATCCAAGTTTGCATTTCCACCCTCAATTATTTATTTATCTATATGTGTATAAAAATTATATATATATATTAATAAACACATACACACACACATACATAAATATGACAGTGGTTCTCAACTGGGGCAATGTTATTCCCCAGAGGATGTTTGGTAATGTCTAGAGACATTTTCGGTTGTCACACTCAAGGCATGGTCCTGGTATCCCTGATAGAGTTCAGGGATGCTGCTAGGCATCATACATGGCACAAGACAGCCCCCCTACAACAACAAAGAATTATCCAGCCCCAAATGTGAATAGTGTCGTTGCTGAGAAACCCTGCTCTATCTAGGATAATGGAAACAAAATTGGAAACGAAATTTAACAACATAGGTTAATATTTGCTCTGTTCTTGGCAGGGAGTGCCTTGAGTAAACAGGGAGCACACTCCAAGATAGAAAGTGTAAAGTCAGCGTACCGAAATTTTATCCAAGTAATCAGCACCTTGGCGGGAGTAATGATGCTGGTCTGCAGAAGGAGATGGACTGTTCTCTGAAAGTAGCATGTGTGACACCAAGGTGATCTGTGTGGGAGCCTCTTGGTACTCCCTTGCCCAACTGCAACTGTGGATGGACAAAGGAAGCAACCTCAGCCTCACAACTTAACCCTTTGCACCCGGATGTCAAGTGTGACTCGACACGGTTAGCAGCAAGCAGTAGCAGCTCACACCATGAAAAATTATAGAGATTAAAATTACTCTTTGAATGTATCAATAATTTGAAATATTAAAAAATCCAAATAAATAAGTTTGTATGCAAAGAAACTCCAGTTTTTGTAAAAATCTGGGGTATTTAAAAAATTAAATCCCGAGTAGAATAAAGGAATCGAGAAAAAAGCAAGCCGAGTGCAAAGGGCTAAGAGAGATTCTGGGGAGGGTGCAAAATGTCTCTGATGACCTCAGAACAAATCTTACAGTTAGAGGGAAGGAGAGATTGTGACTGTCCGCTTTGTCATTGCCCTCTTGGGAGGAGAATCAAACTATGCCACAGATGTCTATTTCACGAGAGGCTAGTGCATTCTCTTCCTAGGTCAGCTGCTCAAGCTGCCCACCTTCTCTTAATTTCAACCCATACAGCCCTCTTCTTCCCATCTGCTTGCAGCTCTGTTTGCCCAACTTCCCTGCCCCACCCCACTCTGTGCCCTCTGGCTTTCTGCATAGTAAGCAAATTCCTTTGTATCTTCAGTCTCTTTACAGCATATTTTATTCTTGCCTTGGCTAAAACTTGGTTCCCTCCGGAAGGCATCTTTCCATTGCTGATCCTTCTTGCGTGCTCTACATACTTCAGTTTTGGAAGTGGGAGTCAACTTTCGCCTCTTCATTCTCAGCATGGCTTCCAGATGACTTGTCTTCCGCCTTACCTCAAACCCTCTGTGCCTTTGATACTGCTGCTCCCCATCTTTGCAACCCTGTATCCCACAAGACCACGGTCTGCCAGCCTCGAGTCGCTTACTTTTATTCGCTAATGTTATCATGAACCTGACACCACCTTCTTCTCCTAGCCAAGTCCTGCCGTCCTTCTCAGTGAGTTCAAATAGTATTTTATTATTGCAATGACTGCTCCATCTGTGATCATTTGGAAACAGCAGAGTATTGGATTCACACAGCTGGCCCGCTTAATCGTGGTGCTAGTGAGGTACCTTCTTACGTAAAGGACATTGACAGGAAGGAGTCAAAATAGGAGTGGCTACCAAGGGAATATGCCACACAGTTTTTGGAGCTGAAAGACTTGAGCGGTGCTTGGAGAGGGGTATTCCAGGACCTGTCCCTGAAACACATGTTCAGATGCAGACAAAAGGAAGAGATGTGGTATCATTGCTAACATGTCTGCTATGGTTTAAAAATTCATGTGGAAACGTAATCCCATTGTGGTGGTATAAAGGGGGGGCGCCTTTGGGGAAGTGATTAAGTCATGAGGGCTCTGTCCTCATGAAGGGATTAGTGCCTTATAAAAAGGCTAGAGAGAACTAATTTAGGCTTTTTTTTTTTTTTTTTTTTTTGCCTTTCTGCTTTCTGCCTTGTGAGGACCCAGTAAGTATGCCCTCCCCAGACAACAATTACCAGTGCCTTGTTCTTGGACTTCCCAGCTCCCTGAGTGTTAAGAAATATGTTTCTATTGCTTATAAATTACCAGCCTCAGGTAATTTGTTATATATCGGCACAAACAGACTAAGTCAATGGCTCCATCTCCATTGATGGGTTGTGGTGTTGAGGAATATTTTAGTTACATTTACTTAATTCCCTTAATTTCTCCGAAGCATTTGATGTCATTTGTAGATAACCTGCCATGGGTCAGGCATTATCCTATGTGCTTTACACATATTAACTCATTCATAGTACATCATGATTTTATACTAGCTATACACTTTTGAGATTCTTTGGCCTCTGTTTTGCCGTAATCTGGTTTATATCTACCTTTCTGGCTACACCAACCCAGTCTCACTATAGGCTCCTATTCTGCCACATCCTTAAATGTTTTTCAAAACCTTCAGCCTTTTTCTCATACCTGTTTTCCTGCTTACCCTGCATGATTTCATCCATTCCCATCGTTTTAAATCTTACTCTACATCATTTCCACATCCAAGATCCATATGTGTAACTTACCAGGGGAGGTCTCTACTTGGATGTCCTTCAGGCATTTCACACTGAATATATTTGAAACTAAATTTGCCATTCCTCCCATCCCGCCTCCAAATACACTCCTGCTGATCTGAAAAGCTGACGTATTCCACTCATTTACCCAAGTCAAAAGACCTGACATCCTTTTCAATGAATCTTTTTCTTCCTGATATTTTATTTCAATTGATTACCAAGAACTAATTATTCTATTTTTAATGTGTTTTCTCTGAATACTGTCATTTCTACGTAAAATCTCTTTATTTGTTAATTTCAATTACGTTATCATTTTCCTTAGTTTGGGTCACAGTCACTGTTAGCATAAATTTCTACCACACCCTCCTAACTCTAGTGTCTCTCAAACTAGTCTTCCCCTTGGCCAATCCATCATCCACTGTGTAACTACTTTTATAAAGTGCAAATATAATCACATCACTCCCTGATTAAAACGTTTTTGAAGGCTTCCCATTAAAATGAAGTCTAAAATCTAAACTTGTCAGAATGGCATAAAAGACCTTTAAAGTTGGTCTCTGATTATTATCACTGTAGTTTCATTATTCACTACTTTCCTAGTGAACTGTACTCTCAGCCCACATGGACCTACTGATAATTCCACAAACTACTGATAGTCCTTTTCTTACTTCCAAGCTTGTTCCCCATTCCCTCATCTGACTAGACCATACTACACTACAGACACCACTAAACACAAAGACACACACCGCCAGGTAGATTCTGGTTAGCTCCTAATTTTGTTTGAGATCATCACATATCATATCCAAAATCATGTCTCTTAACTCCTCTAAACTTGGGCAGATGTCTCTTCTAAGTACTAAGTAAAAACTATGCTTTTTCTCCTTTAAATTATAGTTTGGCTTGCTCGTAGAACATAGTATATGTTCACCAAATATGTGTTAAATGATGTCTGATGCGTGTTGCTGAGCTAGAGGCTGGGCTTAGAGTGGCTGCAACTCTCTTCTGACCAACTGCATGCTTATTCCTGCTGCTGCGTTTCAGGGGTTTGATACAACTTGATTAGAATACCTAGTTCCCAGTGCTGTTACAACTTTGTTCTTCTTGTGCCCTTCTTGAAGAGTTTCTGTGAGAAATTTGGAAGGGCAAAGGAGCAGTAGTTAGCTGTTCCTGCCAAGAA